TGGCCAAGGCCAAAGATGAGAAGCTAGGGGTGACAGGAAGACAATGAATAGAAACCAGGAACCCAGGGAGGAAATGAGAATGGTGACGCATTGTGGGGACTGCAGCCGGTGTTACAGGTCAATTTGTAAACCACCCACTGAGTGCGAAACTAACTTGTTATGCAGACTTTCCCCTAAAGCGAAATAAAATGTTCAAAACAAAACCAAAAAATCTCCGTCTTGTGTACTGCTGTCTCTTCTGTGCCTGGCATAGGGCCTACCACACAGCAGATTTTTATAAACGTAGATGATTGAAGGATATTCTCATGAGCATGTACAACTTCTGAAGTCAGGTGGATTTTCCTGTAAATTTGTAGTTTTAATCTTTCTGTCTCTCTCACTCAAAGAGAAGACTGCAATTCAAGCTAGGACAGTGGTATTGTTATACACAAAAACCTGCATTGGCCTTTCATTTGTAGCTCTGTCTGTATCTGCATACACACTCTGAATGATCCACCGCTGCCTCACTGGTGATTAGTAGTAACTAACTATCGTAACAGCAGTCCCAGTGCACTTATGTACTTGGTTGGGGCTGCCACCTTGCCTGGGACCCGCTCATTTTATCTCTCGAGAACAGTTAAGCCACAGAAGCACAAAGATTGCAGCAGGCAATCAGGGTTTAGAAGTTCTTGTAGTTAAACAGATCTTCACTTAGGGGAACATTGTATTGCATGGAGCCCTAGACACGGCAGCCATCTTCTTGTGCTGTGTGCTTAGGATGCAGGATGAGGTCGACAAGGGAAATTCCCGAAGAAGTAGGGGACAAGGCTCTGCTTTGGGGAGAAGAGAGACTGGCGTCAAGGAAACATCTAAGTCAGTGTGTCAGTTAGTGTCCCAGTAGAAAACTGATGGGAAGGTGTCAAGGATTGTGCTAAAGAGAGTAACAGAGGGATTTTGGGGGTGCCGACAGGGGTAAGGGCATTAGCAAGGGATAGGGAAATATTCAGAGTCCCGTCACTTAGCGAAGTGTCGACACCTCTTGACCTGGAGAAGGGAAGGGAAGGAATGGTGTTCTCTAACCCAGGAGAAAGCTGGAACCCTGGAAGTGGGCTCCCTGGATGTGAGCCGTGGTCAGAAGGACACACCAGCACACAGAGCAGGAGGCTTTGTGATAGAATCCGCAGTGGACAGCTTTGGGGGATACTAAATGCACCACCACCCCCAAAATCCCCCACACTCACTGCCATCTAGTTGATTCCAACTCCTAGCAGGCCTGCAGGACTGGAAGACAAAGCAGACAGAGAACCAGCTCCGCTTGTAGATAAAGGGTTCTAGGCAACTGCTTATGGCATAGGGTTCTTGAGAGGGAAGGGCAAGCTGTGAGAGAGTGCAGGGCTTTCATCAGAGTCAACTTAAAGGCATTGACCCTTTCTGGGTAAGTGGAGAAGCGGGGCCATACAAGTCAAGGACCCACTCAGAGGCTGTCAGAACCAGGATTAGATTCCAGGCCTTCCAGCTCCTGTTTCAGAAGGTTCCCATCACACTGGGCTGTCTTTTCACACAGGAAACCAGGGAGTAGTTCCCAACCCCTTTGCATTCTTGGGAAGTTAAAACAGGTATTGAAAGGAATAGAGAGAGGTGTAACATCTAAATTTTCCCACAACAAACTAAAAAAGTGTCAACCTCTCCAGTTCTAAGTCCTCTCAAGAGAAATAATTCTCTGCCAGAGAGAAGGGGAGAAGAAATACTCTGTTGCCAAAGCCATAATTTGGGGACCTTGAATGGCAGCCGTGGAAAATTTCAGAAGGTAACTCTGCAGAACTGCGGGGATCTTTGGACCACTAAATCCCATCTGTTGGCTCTTTCCCAGAGAATCCTCTTTTACAGGAAGGGGTAAGTCCTTTGAGCTACTTGCTTTCTAACTGGCAAAATATAACAATAAAGAGTAAT